GAGGCAGCACTGGGTCCCCCCTGCCCTGCAAGACAAGCCTGATGATCTCCTGACTCCTTTGTCCCCTCCTCACTCCCTCCACTACACTAACTCCACGGTCTCCTCTACTGTGCCAACAGCCTACCTTTGCCCTGTCCCTTGCCCCCTGAAGTCTTGCTCAACTGGCGCTCTCTCAGTGGGCCTCCTGTTTAAAACTGCGGCCATCCACCCCCACTCCACCAAGCCCGGCCTATTCCACTTCCTCACTCGGTTTTTCTCTATAGCTCTTATCAGCTACAGTTTGGGTGTCCGCCAAAATTCATGTGCTGAGATTTGACAGTAACAGGAATAAGAGGGTAAAAACTGGATCCAATTATTGTGTTGAAGGGTGAGGCCTTTAGATAGTGATTGGGTGGGTCCCCATGATTGAGTCCTGGCGGGGTTGTAAGTTGAGGAAATGAGGCAGAGACCCATGGAACAGGCTATAGTCTCCTCCCTGCCACCAGGTTGCAATGCAGCCGGAAGATGCCCACCACAGGGGTCTCGGACCTGGCACCCCAAACAGCGAGCTGATGAAACTTCTGCTTTTGGGACCAGCAGGTGGCATAACGGTTATATCGCTGGACTCCACATGGCTGACCACGGTTCAAGTCCTGGATCCAGAGGTTTGAAACTCATGCCAGACGCATGTATGTGCGTGCCCAAGATCCCGAGAAGAGAATGAAGGAGAAGGGATTGCGGCATGGTCATCTCCCCAGGGGGTGACTTCTCGTTTTCTGTCTCTCTGTCTCTCTCTTTCTGGTGAGCGCACGCGCCCTATAGCAAAAACCTCTCTTAAAAAAAGCAGGGATGAGGTGGGGAGAAACCTCTGCTTTCATAAATCACTCAGTTCCAGGTGTGTGCTGTTGTTAGCCACAGAATGGACTACAACCACCACTTAGCTTATTTCCTGCTGCCTCACTATCCAACAGGAAAGTTCTAATGAGGGCAGGAGTTTGGCCTGTCTGGGCAAAGCTAGGATACTTTCTGTATCCTTGGAACTTAGAATGCTCTCTAGATACCTTTATCATATTTACATATTAGCAGTTTAGGAATACCAGCTTAAAAATCTTTAGTTATAGGGACCAGCAGTTGGCATAATGGCTTTGTCGCTGCACTCCCATGAGGTCGACCGCAGTTCGAGCCCTGGACCGGTGGCTTAAACTCACGCTGAATGCATGGGTGTGCGTGCCCAAGATCCCGAGAAGAGAATGAAGGAGAAGGGATTGCGGTGTGGCCATCCCCCCTGGGGAGTGATTTCTCGCTTTCTGTCTCCCTGTCTTTCTGGTCAGCGCACGTGCCTTATAGCAAAAACCTCTCCTACCCCCCCCCCAAAAAAATCTTTAGTTATAACTGCAAGATTCAAATTGATCTTCAAATTCAAATTCAGGGTATCTATACATTATCATCTTTAATCTCTGTAGAGATATCAGTTGAGGCTGCCAGTATCCTGGGCTAAAGTGAAGTAAAAAAGCCAGTTTAAGGGCTGGCAGATGGCGTGGTGGTTAAGGACACTAGAATCCCACATGAGCAACCGCAGTTCAAGTCCTGGACCTGGCGGCTTTCCTTCTCCCTTTATGTCTCTCTCTTG